TTTTTTTTTTTTTTGTGTGTGGTGGTTAAAGAGTTTTCTTCATTTTCTTGATTTTACTTCTTGTTTGTTCTTTATTATGGTCTCTTGTTCAATCAATACCTCAATAGTTTTCAATTTTATTATTTCAATTTGGTATTAGGATTTGTGTGGATCTTAGCAAATCTCATAAGTTTTTTATATTTATATAGTTTGGCCGGATCAAAACCTATTTTTTTTTGTCGATTTCTTGCGGTCTAGGGCAAGATTTGTGTGTGTGTTCTCCCCATAACTTTCATCACAAAACAATGAAACTATTTTCTTATTTATGATAAAATAAATATATTTCCTCTTTAATATTATTCGTAATCTGAATGACGATTTTTTCAAGAAGTTTATATTATGAATGAGCAAGAAAGGCTTTTTTTTTTCCAATTATTGTTTTAAAAAAAAATGTAGATAAATAAAATGTGAAATCAAGAAATTTAAAGATTGAATAAGGTCCAATATTTGTATAAAAGTAAAAACAATGTACCACTTAAAATTTAGTTACATTACTCTGCATATAAGAGAACTATATGTAAAGAGCAGTTGATGCTTTTGACCATAAATATATAAATAATAGCAGTGTTTTTTGTTTTAAAAAATACATATATTTTGCTATGATCCAATGAATAAAAAAAATATTTATATATATTTTTCTGTACTAATATAATACCCTTAGGTTTTTAGTAACTTGTGATGAGATATAAAAACATGAGCAGCTCTCAATTGTTTCCTTTTGATGGGACTTTGAGGTGTTTTGGCATGGGGTTTTCTAGATTGATCTGTAGGTTATTACAAGGTTTGTGTTTTTCAAGCATTTCTTGGAACTTGAACTGTTGTACTAAATTTAAACATGGCTTTAATTGTCATTTTATTTACTTATTTATTTATTTTATTTTATTTTTTTTTTTGTGTGTTTTCTCCTTTTACTAATTAATCACAGAGGAGAAAGATCTTGTATAATTGTAACTATATAGTGCTAACTAATTCTCTTTAATTTTCTTCATTTATTTAAGTTTTAAAAAATAATATAAGACGAGTAATTATAAAATGTCTTACTTTTGTTTATATTGTATTATGAATATGGTATTCGAGAACGAAAATATACACATATTTGTTGACAGAGTATATATGGTTGCCTAATTAAATACCTAGCCTAACAAATTACAACTATTGTGTATACTTTTTTTAATATATTCAAATGTTATATATATTATTATAAATAAGAATATGATCATAATTTCTTATAATATTTGCAAATGCATGCTATGCATTTATGTGCTAAGTAATAGTTGGGATTTAAGGGAAAATATGTCAGTGTTATTCGAAAATTAGTATTAAATTCAATGCATATAATACGGGAAAATTTTAAAAAATAGTCCACTATGTTGGTTATTTTTCGGAAAAGGTACATCATCTAGGGCGTCATCAAGAATGGTCTACTAAGTTGCCAATTTAATCAAAATTTGTACAATTACCAACATAATGTACTAAAAGTGGTCATTTTTAGTCACCACATTAGTACAGGATGTTGGTTTTTGTACGAGTTTTGATTAAAATTACAACTTAATGGAACATTCTTAAAGACGTCGTAGATGATGAACCATTTTAAAAAAATAGCTAACATAATATACTAAAAATGAAATTTAGCCCACATATATCCCAAGCACACAGATGCATTATTGAAAGTTTCATCGGACGAAGATAACCTAACGAAAACAAAACTGTAAGGTAGCAAACTATAATAAATCTATGTACAGAGAAAATAAATATTATAATCTCTTGAGAGAGAGTAAATTAAATACGGTGAAATGAATCATGAGCAGCCGTACATATATGCATGTTAGTTGTGTTTCATAATGTGTGTGTGCGGGATAACATTATTAATTACAAATTTTCCAAAAACTATATATATATTAGAAATGCTACGGTCCTGTTGCGGAACCATTCTATTAGGGTTTATAACCGTTATTTCAGAAACGGACCCGTTGCGGAACCATTCCGTCGGGTTTCTGACCGTTAGGTCATCACGTAAGTTGATCTAACGGTTACAAACCCTGACAGACTAATTTCGTAACAAGACAGTAACATCTCCCTATATATATACCCAAAATTTAAGAATCACAATTAATGTAACTATATACACCATTTTTCTTTTCCCCTTTTTCTTAATTAACATGTATTGTGAGATTTCATAAGTCAGAAATTAAACCTCACACATTCGTTCTACACTTTCGAGTTTAATTACTCGACCACAAAATAGTAATTTTAAAAAGTATGACAGGCCGACCAGCTAACGATTATATTGACTTGCACAGAATTCTTGTGATGTACAAGAACTTATTGAATCCATGAGCATATTAAGCTATGATTAATATACAAATAAGCCAGCTTATACCTCATTTGATTAGCTTATAAGATTCCTGTATTTGAATTAATTTCGTTTCTTAGTACAAGTTTTTATAAAATGCTCTAGCTTAATTATCTGATAAGCTTCTTTGGGTAGCTTTTCACGTAATATCTCGTTGACATTTTTATTTCAGCTAGTTTATCAGCTAATTTTACCAAACACTTTTATCTATATAAACTAGCTTTTCAGATATACGTCATAAGCTATAAGCTCGAAAATTACTAATAAGCTATAAGCTAGCTTATCGGCTAGTTTTACTAACTCGATCTACCTAGTATTTGTTGTGATTCCCAATTTGGATAATTTGGCAAAAAAATATATTGTTGAAACCATGCAAAACCCCTAAAAATTGTACTAATTAATTAACAATATTTGATTGAATTAATTTTGTGCATAGCAGCATGGACAGTATTCTTGAGAAGTATGAGAGGTATTCATTTGCCGAAAGACAACTTGTTGCTACTGAGCCTCAGTCACCTGTAAGCATTCTACCAATTCTACAAAACTTAGATATGATATATATATATATATATATATATATATATATATATGTTCTTGATCAAATTTATGATGTTTTAAATTACTAGGTCAATATTATTATTATTATTATTATTATTATTATTATTATTATTATTATTATTATTATTATTATTAATATTATTATTATTATTATTATTATTATTATTATTATCATCAACATTTGGGTTGGTGTGCAGGCAAATTGGACCCTGGAATACAGCAAACTGAGGGCAAGGATTGATCTCTTGCAAAGAAACCATAGGTATAATAAAGATTTTATTATGGAAAATTATATTGCTTATTGAAAAACTAATAGGCAAAATTGCCCCTTTCGAAATTGCTATTTAATCACTATCTTTTTACTTTTGGAGATTATATCACAATCTTCAGTTTTGTTGTAAATCGGTGCGCGCACGAGTTCTGGAAATCAGCTTATAGGCAAGATGATGTAGTCGAAAACCAAATTGAATATTTTGATACATTTTGCATGGATACTGCTAATCGGTGCACCAATTTGCAATAAACTGGAGATTGCGATACAATTTACAAAAAGAAAAATAAAAATCGTGATAAAAAAGGCAGTGATATTAAGAGCAATTTTTCTAAAAAAAAAAATAATTCCATAGGCACTATATGGGAGAAGATCTGGACTCCATGAGCCTCAAAGACCTTCAGAATCTTGAACAACAGCTTGACACTGCTCTTAAGACCATTCGTTCCAGAAAAGTAATGTTTTTTTTTTTTTTTTTACTAAATAATTAACCACATTATTATTAATTAACCAAATTATTTAAAAATTAATCATTCTGTATTATATTAATTAATTTGTACAATTTTTTTGTTGGTCCGAATAAACAGAATCAACTCTTGTACGATTCCATCTCCGAATTGCAGCAAAAGGTTTGTCTCATCTTATGTAGTAACGTTGACTTTGCTAACAAATACAGAAAATTGCAAATAACTAGACAAATTGTGTGTATTAGTGAATTTTTTTGGAAAATTATTACGTTACGGAACTATTCCGTCGGGATTTGTAACTGTTGTTGGATCATCATGTAACCGTGGGGGATAATTGATCTAACGGTTACAAACCCCGACGGAATGGTTCCGTAACGGGACCATAGCATCTCCCATTTTTTATATACATTTGTAATCTCATAATTCTATACATTATACGGACTTTCCTTTTTTTATTTTTTTATTTTTTTTTTTGTCTTT